TTTTTTTTTTTTTTTTCGTGCTTCCCTGCGCTCATTTTCTTTTCTATTTCCTCTCTTTTGCTCCTTTCGTTTACATTTCTTTTTTTTTTTTCTTCACACCTATTTTTTTTTTTTTTTCTCCTTGGATTCTTTCCTTTTTTTTCTCGTTACCTTTTCCCTTTGTTTCATATTCTTTTTCCTCCCAACCACACACACACACAGACCAAAAAAAAAGGTAATTATGCCTTATGAATTTTTCTCTAGAATCACCCTCTTGACACACCCATCCTTCATTCGCTCTGTTGATTGATTGGTTGGTAGTTTTTTTTTTTTTTTTTTTTTTTTTTGCGTTTCATCTTTTCTTTATTTCCTCATTCCCTTCTTTACCTTTTTTCGTGTATTTGTCTTCCCTATTCTTTTTTTTTTTTTCTTTTTTTTTCCCCCTCCCCCCACTTCTTCTGACATATCGCTCTCTCCATTTCCTACACGTATTTCACAGGGGCCATCCCTTTAGTTCTTCTTTCCTCCACCTTTCCTGCGGTGTGAGGTGTCTGTGGGGAGGGGAATGATCATCATCATAGTCATATCGTAATGGAGATGGTTTGTTTGTAATATGTGTGTCTGTGTGTATGCCGTTTTCTCACCTGTCTACATTGCAGTCGTTATCACCTGCGGTTCTGAGAAAAGAACATGCGGCACATTTTTTTTTTTTTTAGTGTTCCGACGCCTGCGACAGTTGAGTGGAGCTGCGGCGGCGGGCACGAGCGGCGGAGACTTCTTCTTCGCGGCGATGGCCGACTTCCGCCCGCAGTGCGGCCTCGCGGTTGAGTTGAGACTCCGTGTGCTTCAGCGCGACGAGCGGCGGCTTGGCGGCGGCGGATTGGCGGCGGGACGAAATGCCGGAGCCCGCGGCGACGGAGTTGCCGGTCTCGTTGCGATGATAAGGCGTGTGGTTGTTGTGGCTGCTGTGGCCATCCTCGGTTTCCTGGTGGTGGTGGTTCTCCTCCTCGGGCTGTTGGGCGAGTTGTTTGGCGGCCCGTCGCTCTTCGGATTTACGTTCCTGGAGTAACTTCTTCTCGGATGGGGCACCATCCACACCGTAGTGCTCAACATTCAATTGACCCATGAGAATCTGTGCGTTTGTTGTCAGGGCGGCGTTGCTGCTGTTCAGTTCTTGACAACGACGGGTATCGCGTGTGTTGGTCATCTCTGCATGACGAATACGGCTCTTGAGGTCATTAATGGCCTTTTCACCCTTGTGTTTCTCATCCAACAATTCCGCCTGCAGCTTGGATTTCTCCTGACGGAGTGTCTTGACCTTCGCCAACAGTTCCTGCTTCTCATTTCGCACCTCAGAGGTGTACTCAATTGTGTCCTTCGTCTCCTTATCCAACTCCTCCTCTTTGGCCTTCATCGAACGGCTGTGTGCGTTCACCTCACCCTGTTCAAGCTTCGGTCCATTGCGAAGATCTTGTGCCCGCTTGGCTGTACGCTCCTGCAGGTTGTTGATCTTCTTCAACTCCGCCTCGCGCTTCTCCTGCAGTTCCGTAATGTACGCAGCGACCTCATCCTCTGAGTGGTTCTTATCATGTGCCGCCACCTGCGCAATCTCTTCTGGGAGCTCCTTCTCCACATATGTCTCCACAGAGTCGGCGAAGTACTCAAACCGTTGCACACGCGCAGCCACGCGGTACACCGCAGCCGCATCCTCGTTGGATTCAATCTGCAGAGCCATCGCATCTCCATCATCCTTGTGGTGCTGAACCTCACGGATTAATCGCATCCGCTCCTCTCGCAGAGCCTCGAGTGGTGGGAGCTCCGAGTCGCCCGCTTCTTTGAGAAGCGCGTCAACACGGGTGCGCAGTGCCTCCTTGCGGGTACGCAACTGCGCCTGCAGCTCCTCCAATCGGTTTGCGGGATCAGTGGACATCTTTTTCGTGAGAGTTGTTTAATGGAGGTGTTTTTTTTTTTTTTT